TGTTAGTTGCGTGTTGTCTTCAATGCCTGCTGTGTTTTCTCTTGTTTTTCACTTAAGTTTTCTCTAGTCATCATCTCACCCTCCAACACAACTGTGCCTGGCATGAGGTCAGACCTGGAAACACCTGCCACCTGGAGGGGTGTGATGGTGAGAGGAGGGAGGCTGGGTTTGGGGGCCAGAAACAGAGCAGGAAGGAGGCCAGAGCCATCGGGCTGGCCAGCTCTGCACTGTTGGACGGAAACATTCCATGATCATCAAGGTCTGGGAGGAGGCAGGGCGTCTGTGACCTTGATTCTGCATGTGGTGTTCAATGTCACAGTGGGGAGTGGATGGAGGACTCCAGGATCTGCCTGCCATCTGCATTCATCAGCCCACTAGACCCCCTGGGAGAGGAATGGAACCGTTTGCTCTGCAGCTGGGTAAACTGAGGCACAGGGAAGCGAAAGCAGGTTTTGTAACTAAGATGCGTGTTTGAAGATGCACGTTCACAGCCTGCCCTTGGCTTTCCTGTCCACCAAAGCCAAGGTGTCTCTGTATGCCAGAGTCTCCAGCATGGCTGAAATTTCAATGTTCACCCACGTCAGTGTGGAAACATCCAGCTTACCAAGAGTGGATAAAATAACATTGAAGTCTTGCACTAGAACAGAACCTACGGTCTCCTCGAAGCACCTTCTGGTATGAGAGAGGCATTTCCTCTCCCAGGAAGTCAGTGAGGTGGGGAAGGCAGTCACCTGCATATTCCTTTTACAGATAGGGAAACTGAGGCTTGGAGAATTGGAGTCACTCACCCCAGACCACCCAGACCCCAAGTGACAACACTGGGATGTGAGCTCAGGGCTTCAGATTCCGGGCCTGTAGCTCTTATCAGGAGGAAGCGCAGCCTCTCTCTGGAACCTTCCACTGGCTGCTGCTCAGAAGCACAGGCCCCTGCCTTGGCAAGTGAGGCCCACATCTGGGAATCTCTGCTTCCAGCTCCATCTCCTCATTCCCAGGACCCCACCCTGCTCTCCTGCCGGCTCCTGTCTCCCCTCAGCAATGCCTCCCCCGTTAACCTGCACAGACCCCGTGGGACCCACAGACCTTCAGCCCCTTCCTCAATGACAGGCTTCATCCACCACCATGGACCAACCCACCCCAGCACTCCAGAGACTTCCTGTTAAGGCAGATTCTGGCTTAGCCGGCGTGGGGTGGGGTCCGGGGTCCTGCACCTCTATCAGGGTGAGGCTGGCGCTGCCGCACCAGGTACCCATTCTGAATGGAGCTGCAGGATTCCCCTAGCACCCTGCCACCTGGGCAGTGGCTCTCTCCATCTCTCTCTCCTGCCCGTCAGCTCTCCCCTGAGTCTCAGGTGGCTAGTTTTTGTCTCCAAAGCACAAAGGAAGGGTTTCCCCTTCCTCTCACGGGCAGCACAGGTGGCCTGAGGGAGACCTGCCTTGCAGAGCACTATGGGCACCTCCCAATGCCAGTCATGCTCTCCACATCTTAAAGGGGTCCTGCAAGCAGCAGTTGCCCTTCGAGGGGCTGAGACGCCTTTGCTGGCTGCCCTTCCCGCCTTCTCCCTGACCTGCAGCCTTGCCCGGCTGACCTCTAGGGCAGGCCCTGGGAATTGGGGTGGGGGCCGCCTCTCTTCCCCCACAGCCCTCATTGCAATTTTGTCCTTGCCCAAGAATCCTCGGTTGAGAGCTCATCCCTATTAATTCTCATTGTGCATTTAGAGCCAATAGGTTTTTATTTATTCATTTATCTTGTCTTTCAGCTTCCTCCCCTTCCTTGCAAGGGTGGAATTTACAATTCAGTTCTCAGGTGGCCTTGCCGAAGGACAGGAAGCCTGGGAGAGAGAGAGGGGGTCTGCACCCTGCACCTGAAAAGGCCGTCTGCCCCTGGGCCCCTCTTGTGCCCTCAGAGTGCAGCGGGGCTTGTGCTCCCACAGGCTGGATGTTGGGACACACCTAGCACCTGCCACAGAAGGGGCCATGGGGAGCGAGGACTCATGAGTGATGGCAAGGCTAAGGGGGCAGTGGGCATCTGTCCACCATGAGGGCGCCCCCTGGTGGCTGGTTAACAAAAGCTGCTGGGGCTGCAGGTGCTGCAGAGACTAGAAATACAAGGCGTGGCGTCCTCAAGACTGGGGAGAGGTAAAGGACTCGGGGGAACAAGAGAAGCCAGGAAAGTCACTGAGGCCGTAATCACCACAGTAACAAGCCAGTGACCAGTACTGTGCATTGAGTACCTCCTATGTGCCAGCATGTACCAGGGCAGCATGGCCAGGCTGCACTGTCCCACCAGCACCGGGATGCTCCTACATTATGGTTTCTACTGGACAGAGGAAGACAGTGAAGCTCAGAGAGGTCAGAAGTTGAGAGAGGGGAAGCTGTGCCGCCTGGTGGGTGGGCATGGGCCTTGGCCACAGGCAGTTCCCAGCCTGTCTTCTCAACTGAGTGACCTTGGTGGGATTTAGGCAACACTTTCTAATCCCTAAAATGAGATTAGAATAGGACCCACCTCAGAGGATCCTAGAAATGATTAAATGAGACCTGCCTGGACCCTCCTAGGGGAAGCCACAATAAACTGTGGCATCAGGGTTTGAACCCAGCTCTGTCTGGAAGTAACCACCCCCTCCAAAAACCACCCCTCCAAAAGCCAGCCCTCCAAAGCCAGCCCTCTAAAAACCAGCCTTCCAAAGCCAGCCCTCCAAAAACCACCCTCCAAAGCCACCCCTCCAAAAACCAGCTTTCCAAAGCCACGCCTCCAGAGGCTGCCGTCCACCTGCTGGGCGGCCTCCCCACCCTCATCGGCCGCACGTTTGTAATCAAAGCAGAGCCGGATGGAGCCCGTGATGAAATATTTAAGTCCATCAAACAGGTGGCGAGATGCCGAGAACGCACCCATGTGGGAGACTGTGGAGATGTTGTTCTTTCTCCTCTGCCTTCCACACCTGTCTGCCCAGGAGAGGGGTAGGGGAGGGGGTGGGAGAGAGCGCTCTTCCAGACCCCAGGGCTTGAGGACTGCTGCCTGGCATGAGGCTCTGTTGGCATTGGTATTGGGACTGGGAGGGGTGACCACCTCCCCAGGGCAGCCGCCTACTGCACTGGGTTCTCTGTCTAAGGGTGGGGGTGGGGCAGAGGTCCAGGGCCAAGGACATCCTAGCCAGCATTGGCCCGGAGAGGGCCTCGGACTTGCCTCTGACGGTCATTTCCCCACCTCGACCCGAAGCTGGTCCTAGAATTATGATTTAACTGCTCCCCTAAGTACATTAAGGCAGTGATTAATATTTAAGAGAAAAAATACAGTCGAGACTCTAATACGAGAGGCAGAGGCTGACTGGGCCGGGAGAATGTGGAGAACCCTCCCACCGGCTGAGAGGTGGGCTCAGCACTGGCCCCGGCCTGGCCTTCCTCCTGGCTTCCAGAGCCCAGCCCCCTCGCTCGGTCCTGCGGTCCCCAGGGCAGTGATGGCCAGAGACTATCCAGCCCCAGCTCCTGGCTTCCTGCCACCTTCTCCTTCCCTCCCTCCCTCCCCTTCTCCCCAGCTGGCCCTGGCCCAGCCGCCACCCACAGTAACAGCCTCATCACCACTGACGAGCCCGAGTAAGAAGCTGCTTTCTCGGTGATGTGACCAAAGCCAGCCCAAGGGAGTGAGTCCTCAGGAGTCCGAGGTGGGGGTACTGGGTCAGCCCCACCATAAACCCAGAGACCTAGAGGCTCCCCTGAGGACATGCAGAGGCACCAGCTGCCTGGCGGATGCCATCGAGCCCCTCCTGTGAGCTCCTATAGCCTGGCTGCCCTACCCTGCTCTGCCCTGCCCTTCCAGGGACGGCCTTCAGAGCATGTCCCAGCGGGAAGCAGCTTAGCTCAGAGACACTGGGGCCACTCTAAGCTGGAATCACAGCTTTGCCACTTCCTGGAGTGCGACCTTGGCCAGATGCCATCACCTGTCCACTGACACCCCTGGGCTGCCTCAGTTATCCCACCTGTGTGACTGGAATGACAACCGCTAACACCTGTGTGCACCTACTCTATGTCAGGTCCTATTCCGAACACTTTACCTACGTTAATTCAACCACGAGCTCCTCACAATGACCCTAGGAGTGTGTGCTTTTCGTGTGCTCCTTTTGCAGACGACAGAACAGAAACCCACAGACGTCCCTGGGCCAGAGCCCACCCCTGACGCTCCTGCTTTATACAACACAGAATCCACCTGGCTAGCCGAGGGGAGGACTCCTCGCAATGACATCAGGCTCAGCCCACACACTCAGGCAGCTCGCATACAGCATCTCTGCTGTTGTTGCCGTTAACATGACTTGAGTACTGAAGTACTCCGGGCCTCTAGGACTCCTCCTTCTCTAACTAGGGACTCAAGGGACAACCCTGAACGTCTGCCTTCCCCTGACTTACCCAGGGGCTATCATCATTGCATGTAGGAATGGAACTGGAAGGGGACCCAGCTGCACCGTCTATCCTGGCCTGACCCCCAACTTCCTCCTTCATGAATACCCTCTGAGCCTCTGTCAAACCTCCCTGTGCAAAGGGCCAGCTCAGAGCTTGGCATGCTCCAGCTTCACGGTGCTGTCTGCTGGATTGGATTGAGTGGGCTAGGAGGTTGCACCGCAGGAAGGATGAACAGAGGGAGATTAGAGTATCATGTTGCAGGCAGTGTCTCGCTCACTCGCCCAGAATGCTGACTTCCTACACAGGAGGCGGGGCTTACCTGCAAGGCTGGGGAGCTGAATACTATGGGCTTCCCGAGGGAACTGATCTAGTGGCCAGCTAGTGGAGAATGCCCCTACCCCAGAGAACAATGTCACATGACCCCAGTTGTCCTCAAGGCAGCCTCTGTTTTGACACATTTCCAAGGTGGGACAAAGACCTGGTCCTAATTCAAGATGCAGGAAAGTCAGCCTTGCATCTTGGTCCGACCGTTCTGCTCGTCCACCCCAAAGAGCTATCCCAGACCTCCTCCCACTCTGCCTGAGCAAACAAAAGAGCAGCAAGTGGACTTACATGGGAGCAGAATCTCTCAGGGGGGTCTCCGCACGTGATGCCTGAGGGCTCCACCTTCACCTTGACATAGTCCTTCAGGCGCATCACCTTGGGCTGGCAGGCGTAGAACTCCCAGGTGGGGCCCTCATCTGTGGTCACCCAGGATTTGCAGATGTCGTAGTCCGCAGAGGCCAGCGGGAGGCAGTGCAGGAAGAGCGCCAGCAGGTGCAGCATGGCTGTGCGGCCCAGAGACGCCCTGGAGAGGCAGCGATGGGGTCAGGCGGGACTCTCGGGCTCAGCATGGAAATGCCACATCAACCAGGCGAGGGTGGCCAGGGTGTCCCAGGGCCCCGAGCACTGAAGCTTTGCAAACAGCAAGGAACTTGTTGTTTCCAAAAGGCCGAGATGGAAAATTCAGAGCCAGCGTTTCTCAGACTGCTGATGGGCAGATCAGAAAGTTGCCCATAACTTCACATCCTCCTAACCTTGGCGTCACACCTCCCCCGGAGGTGAAGTTGATCAAATCAGGCAGACTCTCGAATTGTGACAGTGGATGGAAACGGGATAAGGAGCAAATCCGCAGGGATCCTGCATGAGGCCGGATCAGATTGCTTTTAATTTTTGTCCTTCCAATCAATCCAGGTCTTTAAAGGGCTCTTAGTGGGTGAGGTGCTCAACACAACTGCAAAACAACCCTCCGGCCTGTGTTGTAGACAGAAAATAAAATCAGGAGGCGGACATGTTAGCTGGAAACATGTTCCCTCTTTGGGACTGGCCTTGGCTTCTCGGACCAATAAAAGAGATTTCTTTCATATGGGCTTAAGGTGGCAACAACTGTGTGACTGGACTAGAATAAAAAGCTACTGAGGTGTTAACTGGGGAGAAGGCTATTTGGCTCTGCTTTGGTGGGGGCCAGCACTAATGGGGCCCAGCTGACCTTGGCTGGTAGCCATCGGCAACTTATTATGAAGTTTCTGAGATCTCAGCTCTCAATCCATCCAGGTACCTGGGGTCTGGCTTGTCTTTCATTGTAAGAGGGGAGGAGAGACAGAGAGAGAGAGAGCTCATTAGCAACAACACCTGCAACAAATTAAAGATGGGGCGAATAGAGATATATAAGAACAAAAGCTCTCTGGCAAAATGTGCAAAAGATGAGGCTGCATTAGCGAGGTCTCCTGAGAAAACTGGGTTATTTTTATTAATATCAGAGTTGCACATTTGGAGATCAGGAATGCTATTTAAAAGGTGATGCATTTTTCTCTCATTGATGGGAGTGTTAGTTCAGCAGAAGTGCCCCTGCTTGGGGATCAGAGACTTTCTAAAGCATCCCCAGGAGCCAAGATTTAATGGTTGCTTTAAAACACCATGACTGACAAGTCAGAATGTCAAAGTTGTTAGAGGCAGAGATGAGGCTATAAGTATAGATGCAGCTGAGCCGGTACCTGTATGTACAGACGGACAGAGCGATCCTCGTGCTGGCCAACCATGAAGAGCCAGGCACGGATAAATCGCTCTCCAATCATAGGCACAATCTGAAATGGCTAATTTAATTTTTTTTAACTGTAATAAACTAGGGATATTGAAGACTGACAAAGAGGTGACAGTGTTTTCTGAGATCCGATTTTTCTGATCGAGGCCAGCATTTTGCAATCATTCTTAGAAGGCATGTCTATAAATGGGTCACTATTAGGATCATTGCTGTGCTATTTTAAGCTTCTGGTTACTATCATTATTTAAAATCAAAATAGATATAACTAATATATCATATCAAAATAGGTATCAGTCACATGAATGTTACATTGGGAAATAACATGACTCCAGTATTGTGTTATGTTCCAGACACTGAACCTGTCACCCAGAGAACCCAAGTCCAGCCAGCATGGGATTCTGGCCAAAAATACTGGCCAACAGGGCAAAGGTTACTGCAGTAAGTTACAGCAGAAGCCCCAGCACGATTAATGATTCTGGTTATTATGCCTGCGATGATTGCATTTGACCTCCCAAACCGTCCTGCATGTCCGACCTGGCCTGGCTGTCCCCTGACATCCTCTTCAGCTCCTGTGCATGCAAGACCCCTGAAGAGTTAACTGTGTTTCTATGAAACTCCGTTCTCCAACCAGACACAAAAACGCTCCTGCCAAAAATGACAAACCGAAGTGGCGGACACTTGCTGCCCTGAGCACCTCAGGCTCGAGCAGCCCCCCGCCAGGGCCCCAGGGCTCCAGGCACGGGACTCATCCATCTGCGTTAGGGCGACCCCTGCCCCTCCCTCTTGATGAAAGGCTCCTGATGGAGATGAATGAGAACCTAGCCAGGACCATTTTCCCTGTCTCACCTCTGGCTGGTTAAAGAGGAACCTGTTGTAGAGCCTGCCCGGCCTTGAAGGCGCTCCTTGCTAGAAAACTCTCAGAAAGAACGTGCCTGGTGTCTATTTTTGCAACCTGAGAAAATGTAGTAAAAATAAAATAGCGCGGCCGGCAAAGGTTTGGATGCCTCTGCCCAGAGCACAGCACGTTCCTAATTAATCCTTCCAGCAGTCACTCCCAGCTGTTCACTAACAGGTAGGGCGCTCCTGGCTGCTGGGACAACCAGGACGCCGGGCTGCGGATTGCAAGGAGGACGCAGCTGCCGCCTTCCTTCAGCTGCAGGATCTGCGGCTGCTTGGGGCTTGCAAGGCGCTGGACGCCGCCAGGGGCGGGGAGGCAGCGAGGCCCGGAGGCCGGGAGGCTGGGGCGAGCAGCGCGCGGGGCGCAACTCGCAAATCTATTAATTGCAGTTCTATTGGCTTAAATGCCACGCATTCCCTGGAAAATTAAAAAAAACAAACAAAACACCAACAACAAAATCTGCCAGGGGAAAAATGTGTTTACAACTAGTCAATCAATTGGGCGTTGCTGGCATCGCAGGGGGAATTATGAGCTCAGTGCACGAATATTACAGGCGAGTTCTGCCAGAAAGAAAAAAGAGAGGGGGGGAGAGACGCAGGACTCCCCGGGATAACGAGGAGGAGCGCAGAGAGTGAGGAGTCGGCAGGGAAATTTTCAGAGTAAGAGGCTGCATCCGGGCGGATCGTTTTCTCCGTGGAAAATTTATCTTCACCTCATATTATTAAGAAACTGCAGCTCCCAGAAACAAATAGAATCAATGCGCTTTATTTTCTTTTAAGAGTCCTCAGGAACCGAGGGGGGCTGATAGTCAGGGTATTAAAACCCGAAAATTAGATTTTATCAGGATTTCTGAACTCAGATCTCTCTGTCTTATTGAATTAGCGCCTCCCGAGCTGGCTGGGCTCGCCAGCAGGTTCCTCTCAGAGTCGCCGGCTGCGCCCTCGCCGTGTGGGAAACTTGCCGGGCGCAGGGCCCCTGGGGGCACCGGAGGGAGGGCGCTGGGGGCTTCTGGGACCTGGGGTTGGGGGGAACCCAGCCCACCTCAAGGTTCCCTCTCTGTCCCCTGCAGGAGGGCGGAGGGGGTGAAATCTGCCTTCGGGGGAGGGTAGGGGGTGCGGGGAGGGAAAGGGAGCTTGCTCCGCGAGGTCACCTTCCCGTCCTTTGCCCCAAGCGGGGTCCAGCGGGCGCCCAGCGCTCACCGCAGCCTCGGCGGGCGTCTGAGTTCCAGCGGCCCGGGTTTCCCCCTGCTCCGAAGCGGGTCCTTTCCCCGGGCCCTGGGTCCCGGCCCTCGGGAGCCCCAGAAAGTTGGGCGCGGGAGGCGGGGCGCGAGCAGTAGGCCCCGGGGTGGGTCCCGGCGGGCGGCGGGCGGGGTCGAGGCCGGGGCCGGGGTCGAGTCTGCGCTTCGAGCCAGCTGCGAGCGCTGTGCCCGGCACACAGTCGACCCAGCAACCCCGCCGCCGCTTTTTGTCTTCCCAAAGTTGCGTGCAAGCCACGGGAGCAATTAATGATTAAGCCTGTAATAAAGGCTGGGCCGGAACGGAGGTGCCCACTCTTTCGGCACCGCCTCCCTTAATTAAAAGACCCAGAGCAAAGCGCCCGGAAACTGGCTGGATCGTTTGCCCCGGCGCAGCCGCCGCCGCCCCCCGCCCAGTCGCCCAACTTACTCTGGAGCGGGCGGACCCCGCGAACCCGCGGTCCTCTCCTCCCGCCTTCCCGCCGCCTCTGCTACCCCCACCTGCGCGCCACTCAGTTCCAGGTTCGACTCTACGCTGGCCCCGAGCCGGTGCCTGCGCCCCCTCACCTCCGACTGCCTCCCGGCGCCGGGAGAAGTTTCCAGCCGAGGCCCGGCTGGCCAGGAGTTTCTCTGTGCAACTCACAGGCTCCCAGTTTGCAGAGAGATGGGAAAGCACGGGATGGGGGTGGCTCTCCGCGGTGGCGGTGGGATTGGGGTGGGGGAGAGGCGCGGGAGCAGGGTTAGTTTCCTTTTCCTAAACACATCTGAGCATCCTTGTGACAACCCTCCCCGCCACACACACACACACACACACACACACACACACACACAGACACACACGCGCGCGCGACGGAAAGGACCCGGGGGAAGCCGGCCAGAAAGACAAGCTACCCCTTTAAGATGCTGCTACGAACGCACCTTCACACACCCCTCTGGGGCGACTCCAGGCTCGTAGCAGCCGCCACCAAACAACTTTTTCATCCGAGCCTCTGCCGGGCGGCTGTAAGTGGCTCCTGGGCCCGGGCAAGCCTGCATGGTCGCCGAAGCCCTTTAAAAATGAAACCAGCCCGGCCAAGCTGAAGCCTCTCCCCCGCGCCCGCCCGCCTCCCGGGCTCTCCCTGCCCGCCTTACCCCGGCTTGGAGCGGCTTCCCGGCGCGGAGACCCGGGAGGGCCGAGGACCGCCACCCTCCGGCGCTGCGCCTCCCGCCTCCGGCTGGCGCTGGGTGGGGGCCCGGGCCGAGGGCTGCGAGCCGCTGCTCCTTCCCCGCGCCGCTCCCGCCGCTGTGGCCGCCGCCGCCGCCGCCGTCAGATCGGGGCCGGGGAGCCCTCCGGCCGCCGGGGGGGCCGCCCGCTGCCGTCCCGGAGACGCGGGCCGGGGGAGGGGGCCGCTCGCGCCGCCCGCATCGCCCGCCCGGGCCGAGCGGGAGGTCGCCGCTAACAAGTGCAAACTTTTTGGCCCCCCTGGGCGGCCCGGGGAGGACCCGCGCTCGGGCGCCCGGCAGCCCCCGGCCCGGGTGGGCTTCGCGGCGGCTCGTCGGGGAGCTGGGGCATCCCCCCGGCGCGGCGCGGGCCAGATGGCGGGCGCTTCACGGCCCCCCTGCACTCCGCTCCAAGTTAATGCCGAGGCTAAATCCTCTTGCCATCACTCACGATCACCATCGGGGCTTTTATCTCTCGGTCTGATCCGGGCTGCGTAACTTCCTCTGTGTGGCTTTAACACACCATCCCACCACGGAGCAACGGTCTTCTTAAAGGTGCAGGAAGGAAATACTGTGCTGCTCGGGGGACGTGCCACGGCCCGGGGAGGGGCGCGGCGAGCAGGGGCGTCCCGGCGGGCCCGCGGCCAGGGTGGCCCCGGCAGCCTCTGGGGGGTCGCTGCCTAAACATCGCCTCCCGGCCCGGGGGCCAGCGGGTCCCTCCGCCCAGAGCGCATCCTCAGCCGGCTCCGGTCAGGCGCAGCCGGGCTGCAGCTTCCTTTTCCAAAACCCGGGGGCCTGCCGGGGTACCAGCGCCCATGGGTGTGGGGGCTGCCCCATCGGCACGAGGGAGGGGGCCAAGTGGAGTCAGTTCCCCCACCCCCCACAGCCAAGGGCTCAGGGCTGCTCCTCGGTCTCTCCCCGTGAAGTGCTGCCACCCAGAAGGCCCCAAGCAGTGGGTACCGGGGTGGGTGGGTGGATTTGGGGAGATGGGGAGGGGGAGCAATCTAAGCGCACAACCAGAGCCTGAATACCAGCTGACACATCGCCGCCTCCACCCTGATGGGCCCTGCTTTTGACGAAGCCAAGCCAGCTCTGCAGAGAGTGCAGAGTAGGGGGGCAGGAGGGGCCTGCCTGAGGGGTTCTCTGCCTCCCTCCCAGGCAAGCATGGGAGGGAGGTGTGGGAGGGCTCCCGTAGCCACAGCCCCGGGCAGGGCAGAGGCTGCTCAGTTGGCAACATGGCATCGGGCAGCCCTGGGCTCTCCGACCCACGGGAGGTTTCCTGCCAGGCTGCCTCCCAGGGCTTCGGGGAGAGTTTCCACATCTTCCAGGAGCACATGTGGTTTTCGGACACTCCTGGCCTCCTGGGATGGGCTCGCTGCAGTCTTGAGCAGCCAGCACTGTCATTTGGATGCATCAAGAACAAAGGGCCTGAGGACAGAGACAGAGGCAGAGAGAGACCAGCCCAAGGTCACAGAGGGTGTTGGGAATGGAGCAAGACAAGGCACCTCAGTGCCCCGCCCTGCTGCCACCCTTCACCTCCTCCTTAACCCTTACCTGCCCTCAGCTGCCCTGAAAACTAGAGAGGGAGTTAGACTGCTGAATAATATTTAGAATCTCTGACTAAACAGGCAGAGGATGCAGAATTAAAGACTGTCATCTGCTGTAATAACAATAATAATAAATTTATTGAGCACCTTTTTTATGCCAGACTCCATGCAAAGCAGTCTGTGTGCGTTATTCGCTGAATCTTCGCCAAAGCCCTGTGACTTCACTGCTAGTAGCGAAGCCCCAAGTTGGAGATGTTAAGTAACTTGCCCAAGGTCACATAGCTAAGGACTCTGGCCAGGGAGGCAGGGCTCTTGGGTTCCCAGGGGGCGCTCTATCACTGGCCTTGCTGGCTGGTTAACTTGGAATGAGGCCCAGATTGCTTTGGGGCTCAGTTTCCCCGTATGTGAGATATGAATGGTAAATCCTCCTTTTTTTCAAAAGCGGGTGAAAACAGGGCCATGGTGTGCCTCTATCTGCATATGCTCTCAGATCCCTCCCACTGGAGATGGGCCCATCCCACCAAGCAGCCTAGGAAGGCAGATGCAGGCAAGCTCCCGGTTACCTGCTCTCTGCAGGAGGAAGCTCCTCGGGAGATGAGAACAGATCTCAGTGGTTTGATTTTTAAGCATTCAGGCCTGCAGGCAGCAGTGAAGGGCAGGGTGTGGGGCTCCCACACAGGGTGAGTGATGACCAGGGTCATCCCTCAGCCTGTTGTCACCCCGGGGGCAGGGTCATCAATCCCTGGGAACCGCCCTGCTCCTCCATCATCACTGCGGACTGGATGCTGTCAGGAACCGCCAAAGAGACGTGGAGAAGCTGCTTCTTATTTGTAGTTCATCTGAACATGGTGGAGGGACGGGGTGCCTCCTCCCTAGCATGGCCGGGATGGTTTCAGTGACCCAAATGCAAAGATATTTGCCACTGGAAATATATATATATACATATTTTTTTTTTTTTTTGAGATGGAATCTTGCTCTGTCACCCAGGCTGGAATGCAATGGCATGGCCTCAGCTCACTGCAACCTCCACCTCCCAGGTTCAAGCGATTCGCCTGCCTCAGCCTCCCGAGTAGCTGGGATTACAAACACCTGCCACCATGCCAGGCTAATTTTTGTATTTTTAGTAGAGACAGGGTTTCACCATGTTGGCTAGGCTGACCTCGTGATCTGCCCTCCTCGGCCTCCCAAAGTGCTGGGATAACAGGCGTGAGCCGCCATGCCCAGCCTAGAAACAGTTTTTACTATGCCTCCCCGCCAGCCCCCACCTCCCCAATACTCGCTGCCTCTGCAACAAGCTGATGCCAACAGGCTTTTTTTTAGGGACCTATGCCAGAAGCTGTCTTCTGGTCTCCTCATTTCCAGACCCCAGGATAATGGAAAGCACTGCACTGAGTCAGGATAATGGGCTTTTCTTGGCTCAGCCATGACCACACTGCGGGGTTGGGGGAGATCCCTTCCCTGCTCTTGACTTCGGCTTTCCCATCTGCACCAGGAGGGGATTTGCCCAGGACGGCGGTCCCTCTGCTGTGATCCTGAGTTAACCACGCTCCACAGCAGCCTCCAGGAGACGATGTTCCTTTCAAGTGAACCATAAAGCACTTATTTTCCAAGGTAGGGACAAATAGGATTTCAGCCATGTGGGGACCAGGTGGTTGAGGGACGTTCATTTTTAAACTTCATTAAGGTACCTTCTGACAAATGACCTTTTTCCGGTAATGAAAAGAAGCTGAGCACCAGGGGCAGGAAAGTGTTAATGAATCTCCCTGAAAATAACCGCTGGCTCCCCCTCACCAGCAGCCTAATCATCCTCTTCACTGGTGGGATTTTGGCTCCAATGCACGGTTTTAATTTGAATTGTGTATGTGAAATCTGCTATCAAAAAGCATCTGTAGAACAATGCATTTAATTTTATTCCATCTATATTTTTAAAGAGGATTTGTATATAACCATACATATATATGATTATACACATATGACTGTATACAAGTCCACTATCTATATAGACAGGTCCATTCCATATGTGGACAATGAAGATACACACCAAAGTATGAACAGGGGTGATGAGGGGGACCGACGTGCTTTATTACAGATATCCTTTCCGGTTGCTTGACTCCTTTACAATGAGAAAATATGCATGGTATAGATGAGTAACAGGAAATTATAAAGTCACAAGCAAAAATAATCTACCAGCTTTGTAATGAGAGGTAACAGATGAGGTCCAGGCCCTCTGGGGACTTCCAAGAGATGGCAAGTCCTGATGCAGACAGACAGACAGAAAAAATGAGCTCACATTGCTGATTTAAGTCAAGTGCAAGCTCAAAGGACACCCCCTGCCAAGTTCTCATCCCTCTCCTTGCCCACTCTGTTCACTTAAGCCAGGCCAAGATTTTGATTCTTCGAGAAACTCTTTGTCCCCTTGACCTTGAGCAGTTGAGAGGCAGCTTTTAAGGAGGTGGTAAGATCCTGTGTCCACGACCATCTAGGGGTTTTCAAGACACCCTGGGGGTCCTTCTGCTGCCAAGGTAGGGGCAGGAGGAACCCAGGGCCTTCCCCAAGGTGACACTTCCAGGCAGTGGCAGAGGCTGCTAGAAGCACTCTGACCCCTCCCTGTCAGTCCTCAGCTCTAATCTCTAGACCATACTCCCATTAATTATTATTACTGTATTAATCATACATGTGATTAATTCAGTAATGGTGATTCATAATTGATTGCATTTTATATTGCACCTTTCATCCACACATCTCCCAAGATGTGCACTGCCTACAACAAGAGACACATAATGTGGAACGTGTTCTTTGCTTGCCTGCGTTTTGTTGGATAAACTTCTCTTTGGAAAGGCAGGGGGCTAATGGCCTTTGAGCACACTGAGCTTGCCAGTCCTAGTTCCGTGCCCATCTCCCTGAGTACTGCAGCTCAGTGGCACCTGGCCTTGCCCAGTGGCGGCCATACTGTGGGAATCGTGCAGACCTCACCCCCTTGGCAGGCAAGTCTGCCTGGGCCCCAGGCTCCTGGGCAAGGCCAGCCTGCCCTGGCTGGGAGGCAGTGCCACAAAGTGGCTTGGATGTGGGTTCTAGAGCCTCACTCTCTGGGTATGAGTCGTGCCTTGCCTGCTAATTAGCTGTACGACCTTGAGTAAGCTACTTCCCCCTCTGCCTCACTTTACCCAAATGAAAAATGGGAAGATAATAGTCTCCATCTTCCTAGGGTTACGGTAAAGATCAAATGCAATGATCGACAAAAAGCAAGTAGAACCTGGCACATAGTAGGTGCTCAATAAATGTCAGCAGCAATTGTGGAACCTTAGGCCTGATTCCAGCAGCAGCAGCGGCTCTGTGACTCAAATGGTCTCTTCCTTTCTTTGGGTCTCAATTTTCTCAGCTGTGAAATAGCACGATCACTGGACCTTGTTGGTCCTTCCAGATCTTAAATGAGCACTTAATACAGTCACAGTTGAAATTCGGAGCTTCAGAGTCAAGCAGTCCTGGGCTCCCATTCCTGCTCACCATCTCCCAGCCGTGACACTCACCTTGCCAAGCCTCAGTTGCTTCATCTGGAAAATGGTGGTTAGAATGGTCTCTAGTTCCTAGGTTGGTCTAAGGATTTAGTGAACTAATGCTTGAAACCGATTTGGCTTCTAGAAAGTGCTTAACACAAGGTGGCTCTGGTATTACACACTCAGGCACAAAGCACAGCAGTTTGCTGACAATCCCCGACTTCCGCCTTACCGCCACTCTGTGGAAGAGACTCTCCTTCTGTCCATTCTTCAGAAGAGAATACCGAGGTCGAGGGATGTGTCCTGGGTTATTCAGGGAGCACAGGGCTCCTTTTTGAATCCAGGCCTCATGGGTAGGCTCGCTGAAGGGTGGGCTCTGTCCTAAGTTTCTCTTTCCAAGATTGTTTCTTCCCAACAGCCCTGGGAGGGAACCGGTATTGCAGTCTCCACTTGCCAGCAAAAGATACGGGCACTAGCTGGGCGAGGTGGCTCCTGCCTGGAATCCCAGCACTTTGGGAGGCCGACGCGGGCGGATTGCTTGAAATCAGGAGCTTGAGACCAGCCTGGCCAACATGGTGAAACCCTGTCTCTACTAAAAATACAAAAATTAGCCAGGCATGGTGGTGTGCACCTGTCATCCCAGCTACTCAGGAGGCTCAGGCAGGAGAATCGCTTGAACCTGGGAGGCGGAGGTTGCGGTGAGCTGAAATTGAATTGCACCACTGCACTCCAGCCCAGATGACACAGCAAGGCTCTGTCTCAAAAAAAAA